TTAGAAAGGTGATAACGTTTTTATCGCACAACCTGTTTAAACTCGCCTAAGCCTTCACTTTGACGGAATATACATATACTATCAAAGAAAGCGCGTATGCAAATCAGGGCTATCCGCCTATGTGTCCTGATGTTGCTTAATTTCCAGGTTTCTTTTCGAGCTGAATCACCCCACGCACGTGTATTATCGTTGGAGACTGTACTCAATTTCCCAGGGTGACACTTTTCTGCAATGGCGTCGAGAAAAATTCAGGTGTGAATTAAAGCTTTTGCAAACTTGAGCTTGTATTGAAATCACATTGGCACTTTTCCAGAATGTTCGAAGGCGGATCTTGGTGGCAGCCGCCAATTCCGCAAGCGGAACTTTTTAGTTGCATGCCTCGCTCTCTCTACAGTTATGCGTGCACGATCACTGACCCGAGTCGCTGGCTTCCTAAACTGGATGCTCCTCTGGCTGTTAGTTTTCCTTTTTCTTTACTCTTCGTTTAATTATTCAGCAGGCTTGGTTCTGAATTCCCTTACTACCGTGTCTTTTTTTCCTCGCCAACTGCTTTTTTGCTCATACTTATTTCATTCAAAGCTTGTTTGAACCATTTAATTATCTGTCTATCTCTCTAAGTGGATCGGCTTCTGGGCAGCTGTACGTAGATTTAGTTATGAAAGGAGGGAAATGCCACGTGCTATTTCTTCGGCTTACATCCTGGCCGACGGACCACTTGAATCCTCCTTTGAGCCGCCTCAATCCGATGCTTTGTTTGCGCTCTCTCGCCTTATCAGCGGCTGATGATTACTGTGATCTCTCACATTCAAACTTTTATCACACTGTAGTTGGCTCACCGCTGCCGTGCCAGGCGCCTTTCTCTAACTTTCCGTACTCTCCGCCATTCGTGGCAAGACTACACCCTATCGTATCCAATTCCAACACATTTTCTATTCTGCGGTTCTCGGGTTTATAATTATAAAATGAGAATGAGAAAATCGGATGCTCACACGCTCTAATAATTTAGGCACGAAATACTCGATCGCAGGACACAAGAGAACGACGTGAGAAATCCAGAAGCAGTCCGAGGCAAGACCATTCTAGAAAACCAAAGGCCCGATTACGGAAAAGTCAGAGGAAAAAACTGGAGCAAATTCTCAGGGAGCTCACGCCTGAGTGTGATAGCGTATGTAGTGACTGATTCCTATCTTTCCAATGTAAATTACAGCGCTTTTGAATAAATGATTGAATTGTTTTTATTTTAGATTGGTGACGCCATGGTGTGGTGCGCAGATCATGCCACATGTGCTCGAGAAATATGTGAATGTATTTACGAGTCTCTTACGATTGATGAAACTCCGTTGCACAAAAAGATAGCGAGGTGATTTGAAAAAAATGAATAAAACTACAATAATGATAATCATTGACGTTTTACCGCTATGATACCACTTTTTTAGACTTTATCTAATCTCGGATTTGCTAGCGAACGCAGCTTCTCGCGGAGTTAGGGACGTTTTCTATTTCCGGCAATATTTCGGCGAGCTCCTAACTAAGGTACTTTACTGAACTTGCACGATATTTTAATTTTGTTTCGATGTTTTTTTCGCATTGAATGATTTCCTCACAGATTTTCGCTGCATTGGGACGCACGTTGAGAACCGTGAATGCTCGGCTCAAAGCGGAGCAGTTCAAACAGCGCGTCATGTCTTGCTTCCGGTATGTTCATTTGTCGTGAAAATGCGGTCATGTACACTGCTAAACTCTATCCATTGTGATATATATCTTTCTGTATATGTGGCTAATCCGTGCTCTACTTCAAACTGCTGCGTGGGTTACTTTACCCAAAATTGCGTGGAATGAGCTGTCACACTAAGGTAACCGCAATAGGTTACCTTAGTGTGACAGAAAAAAACTAGCTTCACACTAATGTTAGCTGCTGATCTAATTTTGTAGGGATTACTCAAAGATAGCATTTTTGGAAATTAGACATTCTTTCCATGATTTCTTTGTTTCACTACATTTTCATTACTTTCGTCCTTCACATTGGTTGCGATTTCTCTTTTAAAATTTACTTTTCCTTTTTTGACTTTTTTGTCCTTTTTTTCTTTGATCCTTCGTTTTTAAGAGCATGGGAGGAATCGGTTCTCTATCCAACTGATGTTCTAGTAAATAGTCAAAACATCTTTCTCGGTCTCATGGTAAGTGGAACTTGTGATTTTGTTCAAATGGACCTTTTCGTTTCTTTGTGGAGTTATTGTCTATTTGAAGGAGGGAAGAGAAACGGATGAAGAGGAAGAAGATCTGGATGGTGCTCCGTGTGATATCGATGGCGTTCCAATTGAAGAGACTGAAAGAAACGTAACCTATTTCCTCGAATCAGTTTTTCCTGCCCACTCACTTTTTCTTTGTAGATGCCAATTTTTGATGACTACAACGAGTCGGGTAATGCTGGACCGAGTGGGGAAACACGTAAACCAACTGGGATGTTCAAAGCCGACAATTGGAGGTACGGAAGTTTTTTGTGTAATTTGCCCGTAGTAACTTATACGGTGGGTTCAGGTTGGTACGGTCGAACCTGTAAAAAGCAAGTGGGAAGACGATGATTCTGAGCCGGCGACAAAGGAAAGGAGTTCCAGTCCGTCAACAAGAAACTGGAGTGCTGATGCGTCTGAGGGTAATTCGGGAAACCCAGCTAGTGCTCGTACAAAGGAGAGCGACGATAGCGATACGGATGGAGAAATTGAGGAGAAGGAGTGAGTACTGCTTCATTTTACAAGCTGTTTTACATTTTCATGCAATTCTATTAGCTTTATTTCCGATAGCAAGCCATTTATGGTGTTTTTCTTTCTGTGGCTGGATGAATATCTCTATCAAAGTTCTGACTATGGTGATTTAGGGACATTCTTGCCAGCGCTGCTATTGAAGAGGAGCGTCGCAAATTAATGAGAGAAGTGGAGGTAAGTAAATTCAGTTACTCTTTATGCTGTTTCTTATTCTCATCGCTTACATTTTTCCGCTTGAAACCTACTTTACTTGCTTGATTAAGGTGAAAGTGATGGCGCTCCAAGATGAGTTAGAGAGTAAGCGAGATCCAGATATAGCGAATAAGGTGATTTTTGATGTTTATTTTGTTGAAGGTCCCGCTAATCGATTTTTTAAAGGTGAAAGCTCTCCGAGAGAAGGAGATGAACGATTTGGAAGACAACCTGGCTTTGATCGTAAAAAAGCGGTCGAAAAAAGACAAGAAAAAATCTAAAAAGGAGGCAAGAAAGGATGGTAAAGATGAATATGCGCTTTCAAAGTCTAGTAGAGACGCAGATCGCACAGGAGATCGACGTCGTGACACTCGCGACGTAGAGTCACGGAAAGGCGATCGAACTCGTGATCGTGATCGCGATCGGGATCGCGAGAGGCGGAGAAGCAGAAGCCGGGATCGAAAACGCGATTCTAGTCGGTGAGTCGTGGTTAAGTATTACACTCATTGTTGATTATTTATCGCTGAGCAATTGTATGAAGACCTTCCCCTCGCCTTTGGTTGACATACAACTCGTAGTGAGATTTTCGCTGACTTAACTCCCTAGTTCCTCGTTGACGTTCAAAATCATGAGCTTGAGTGGATTACTGCCGGGTTTGAATTGAGCATTAGAGAAGAAAGGATGGAGCTCCTGGGTGTGGCAAACTTGTTCAATTTAATTTTCTGTTTTGATTAGTGTAGGAGTCACTGGACTCAGTTCTGATTATGTAGCACGCAATATGCGCTAGAAATTACTCAGGTTGGCTGCTCTGTGACCGCGGATTGTCAACACTTCTTGGTGTGGTGGCTAGCGCAATCTATAGCTTCTAAATTGCGTTAGAAGATTAAACGAAAGAGGAGTCGTGCATTTTGTTCTTGATAAGCCTCCTTTATAGGGATCGTTCTCGACGTGATCGTCGCTGACGGGCCTTTCACGGTTGTAATTTGGAATCGATGAGACGCATCTCGCATGACGTATGAATTCTAGTTGGTATATCTCGCTATATATTGCTTTTTATCAGCTAAATTATTACTATTATTCGTTGTTTTTCTTTCATTGCACTTTGTTAGTGCATTTGAACCAGTCAGATTGTTATTTTTGTTTTCAAATGTGTTAAATAAATGTTTCTTGATTTTGTTGTGATCGACTCCAAATTTGAATGAAGAACTACGTTTTGAACCATGTCGTGAATTGCAAGAGTGCAATGTTACAATGGTTTTAGGAAAATAACATGTGAAGTTTCAATAGTATATGATGTTGCTCCCAAATTCGAAAGGTTAGGGCACAAAACATCCGAAATTCCCTCTCATTCTGGTGTGCGCCACGCATTCTTCTTCCTCCTAGAGACGTAACGGAAGAAGAATGCGTCGCGTAATAATTGTGTTTGATTTGAATGCGATGAATGCTGGTACATCGTTCGACTCGCTGGTGCAACGTTCGATTCGCTGGCGCAACGCTCGGATCCAGCGATTCGCTAGCGAATCGCTCGATTCGCAAACTATGACATCGGCTTTCTTCACTTCAAAACCTGAACCGCCAAGGATCGCGGTTAACAGATGTCCTGAGACCCGGCCCGGCGAGAGTGAAGGTCTGCGGGAGAGCGCGACTAACCGGGAAGGTCTTTCAGGGCGTGACGAGCTTTTTGAAAACGGTCTTTTGCATGATATAGGGGCAGATGCGGGAACCACAGAACCATGTTTAATTTTTCCTGAACGGCCCTCTGAATACCAGAAAAGGGGTCCCTAGTTCGATTCCTCGTGGTGACAAATTTTTGCATTTCGAGTTGACGTTCCAAAATTCGCGCAAAATGGAGTTCTGATTGTTCTGGTTGGTTCTAACTCCATTTTGCGCGAATTTTGGCACGTCAACTCGAAATGCAAAAATTTGTCACCACGAGGAATCGAACTAGGGACCCCCTTTTCTGGTATTCAGAGGGCCGTTCAGGAAAAATTGAACATGGTTCTGTGGTTCCCGCATCTGCCCCTATATCATGCAAAAGACCGTTTTCAAAAAGCTCGTCACGCCCTGAAAGACCTTCCTGGTAAAGCAGTCGGTAATCCTTGATGAGTCGTCAACGGATCCTGGACCGGTTTTCACTTTGCTTCCACTCTTTTCTGTCACAGAGCTCGATCAAAGCAAATTCAAAATTGAGCTTAGGAAAAATCGAGGCTCCTCTGAATATCCTCAACCAAGTTCCTGACCAGCTACTGTGAAGCTTGCTTGTTTGTGACAATCAAGGTGTTGAGTCATAGGCAAATTTTACAGCACTCTTGCTCTTAACGAACAGTGATGAGAGGATAACAAATAATAAATAAAACTGAAATGAATGAACTAGTATGATAAATGAAATAAAAAAAATAAAAATAAAGAAAAATAAATAAAACAAAAAATAAAGTAATAATAAAAGTGAAAATTACACGTAAACCAGGTGATATGTTGTCATGCAAGAGCAATATCGCCTTTGCACAGCCTCTGAGGTCAAACAAAGTCCAACCCATATCGATGCAAATGCCAATCTGTAAGAACAACAATTCGATTGTGTTTGTTCATTTTTACTTCAGCTAGAAGGTCAGTCTTTCTCCAGCATTTACTATGTTCTGTGAATAGTACTTAATGTGCTACTGCTTTCAAAATTTTCCTTGTAACCTCCTTCAGCATCTTCTTTTTACAGAGAGGCATGAAATAACCTGTCTTGCTCCCCTGAAACCAGGATATTGGCCGAGAGTCTCGGCGCAGGCGGCCTCCGCGATCCATGACCTTTTCTGCTCAAACTATTGTCTGCTAGTCTTCGGAGCGCTCGGTAATTGAGTCCAGATCTGCGATTGAGTCGATCTGAACTTCTCAGATCTCTGTTCCCCACTACACATGAACAACTTCCAAGCCGTTGTGTCACAGTTTTTCGAGGTCAGTTGGCAGGGAAAGTGCTTAACGGCTCTCCATGGTACTGCAATAGCTCAGAAATCTATACCAATTTGAAATCTTCCGCCCATTATGCACTTTCAGGATATTCACAGCTTCATAGAACTCCGTTGCTCTTTCCTTATCATGCTTCTCCTTTGTTATACCGTGGAAGCATCTTTCGGAATTGTTCACTTAATGAACTTCGAAAGATCCTCCCATACATAATACGCTAAGCGGTCATGTGTGTTTGTGTATGTTTGTTGTTTGATCAGAAATTCATAACTTCTTTCTCACTGGTCCCAGAGCACTCCAACTTCTAGGTGTACAGAAGTGGCCAAAAAAAAACACCTTGCTCACGGCGCACATCATCAAACATTTCATCGCGCAGGGTCGCTGTTGATTAAAGTTTAAAATATCCCTTAGATGTCCTCCATAAGTAGAAGCAGGCCCTCTTCCACTGCCCTCACCGTCCTCAAAATATGACGTCATCTTCCATCACCGTTGAGCTCAAGAAGGCCTAAAGTAATCGTTCCAGCCTGAAGCTGCAACGAACTTTCTTTGATCGGTTAACTGCAGTATTGCTTTCTAGGGACAATCGCTCTAAAATGTATGACCCCTCGGCCAGCTTTTCAGATAACGTCGTAATGGTCTAACCAGCTAAGCTCGAGCTGTGCGCAAGGTCCCCATTACCATGGGGACCTTGCGCACAGCTCGAGCTTAGCTGGTTAGACCTTAGCTTAGCAGAAATTCTTGAGATTTCCTTGGTGCAGAGAGCTATTATACTACCATGTTTGTTGGTAGATTGGGATCACTAATTGAATACTAAGTTGGGAGAAGTCGGTATTGAGTTTAGCAAAGTGTGATTAATACTGTCTGAAATGTGGATTGAAGTGTCTCTTTTTTTGGCCACCCCTGTATGGGGGGGGGGTGAACGTGAACACTGATGGGTGGTGAGAAGTGATAACTCCTGAAAGGAACCACGAAAAGGCGTCGGTGTCAATTTCGTTACGCCGTTCGCGTTGGCAGTGGATTGCTAGCACTCATGAATATTGTGTAGGGTAGGACTGGGACCCAAATGGTGAGCGAAGGAAAGTGATAGCAAATGATAAGGGCTGATAAGGGCATCGGAATGCTAACGTCGTCAGTTTCGCAACGCCCTTCGCATTGACTCCTAGGATGTTCGCACTCATGAATATTATGTGCGGTGAGACGTGAACCAAAAGGTGAGTGAAAGAAAATGGCAGCAACTGGTAAGGATTAATAAAAGGATAAAAGATAAAGCATTTGCCGTTGATCAATCCCTTTTTGGGATGCGGCACGCATTCTACTTCCATTTGTACATTCGTAGTGGCGTTTGAATGCGATGTGGCCTATACAATGACTTGCGGGGGCCAGCCGATGTACAAGTCAGTGTTTTTATCCTCCCAGACAAGTCTGGTACCAATTAACCGACCCCGGAGGGATGGAAGGCTTGGTTGGCCCGGGCGACTCACGACCCAGGATTTGATCCCCGGACCGCTCGCGTGGTAAGCGTGCCACTTGCCACTACACCACTTCCGCCCTATAAGGACTGGTAAGGGACGTTAAAGTGCAAATAATTGGAAAAAACGACAAAGGCGTTGTTGTAGAGCGAACGAAGTATTTTGAACCGAAATACGCAGCTTTCTGGGTAATACTTGACTGAATTTACGCGCTCGAAACAAACGCTACGGTATTATTATGTTATAACGTTATATTTATTTACATATACATACATTATATTGTATTATAACGCTCCTCCCGAATATTTACGAGATGAGTTCGTATTCTATTAGGTTGAACAATGATTATCCGTCGTTTTCATTTAAGTCATGAGTCTATTTTCCTAAAAAATGGCGGACAATTATTGCTCCAACTGATTCGGAGTTGTATCGTAGTCGCACCAATCTACGGCCGAAAAAGTCACAGCTGTTCCTTGATTCATGAAGCATATTTTGATTACTATGTCTATTTATTGATCAGTGCATTCATGCGTCTGTAAACAGAGATTGGTATTATAATCGATTTACTACCTCAAAATTTTTGCGACAAAGTTACGGTAACACTGATTTTGTATTGAAAGTGATATGGAAAATTCATGAGGGGAAATTTGATCACACTAAGAAGCTGACAAAAGTTCTTGAATGGCGTACTTCTTTCTTCCATGAAAACCATCTCTACAGTCGATTTTGAAAATAGATTGATCATTTTCCACTCACTGGTTTACTGCTTTCAATTAGTGTATTTGTTTGCAGTGGCAGACATCTGTGGTGGTTCGATGGCCTTTGCCTTTTCTTGTGGTACCTCCATTCCTTACAATCGCTCTAGGTGACCCTTTTTCAACCTGGCTAATTTTCTTCTCAAGTGTGATAAGTCAATGAATCTTCTTTGTAGTACTGGGTACTGCGATGGACTTCCAGTTGAACATCTCCAACGAGACTTTACAGGTGTTTCTCCCGGACAGCATGCAGAGCATATCTGATCTCAAAGAGGCAAGCGTAGATGAATTCACGTTTCTGCGTTTACTTACAAAGATGAACGAATTTTCCAGTTGATCACACTATTTCCACCACGAGACGCACAGCGGGATAGCTACAGTATCTTCGGATCGAAATTCGCTTCGTTCGTGCTTGAAGACGTGGAAGGGAATGCTGTTAGCAAGGAATCAATCGAAAGCGTTGCAGCACTTCATAGATCCATTATGTCGTTGAAGGTCGGTATATCCAGGGGTGGCCAAAAAAAAGACGCTCCACTTCACGTTAAAACGGCATCCATTGCTGGCCTCAAACGGAATACTATCAACTGAAAATTGAAGAGCACATTCAGTTCTATCAATGAACATCATACCAGCCTTCTACGTCGAAGTTCGAGCTGAGCTTAACATGGTCATCGACCGATCATGGACCATTGTGACATTATCTGAAACGCTGGTCGTCAAGGGGTCTTGCACAGTCAGAGCTACTGTCTCTAGGAAGCTATCCATCACTTAACCGATTGAAAAAATTAAGTAGCAGCTTCAGGCTGAAGCATTGCGGAAAGCCTCTTGGGCTTAAGGGCGATTCTACGTCGTTTTCTGAAGAAGAGGAAGCTAGCGAACAGGGGCTTCCATCCGCGCATAGAGGAGCATTTTATGGAATATTCCACCGAAAGACTTCCATTGACCACGACAACCTGAGCGAGTTAAAGCCTTGTGACATGTGACATGGGCGAAGTGTTTCTTTTTTTGGCCACCCCTGTAGAAGAACGGCAGAGTTGTAGTTCCACTCATGGTGGACGTTCATGATGACACTTCTCGCTTTTTTTCAAGCACTCTGACTTAGTTCACTGGTAGCATGAACTTTATGTAGTAAGAACTTTTGATGTATCCGGTCACATGATTAATGAGACTTCAAACTGTACCAGTTTTAACGAGAAACCCACTTATTGAGCCTCCACATGCGTTAGAGCTTATTTATGAAAAGAATGATGGCCAACGTTGGTCAGCCCTTTGCAGTAGCGCGTGCTTGCCTTCCATTTGGAGTCGTAGTGATGTTGAATTTGAATTCATGTTAGGTCCATGATCTCTTCCACTGGAGTGGATACTCATGTCAATGCTTTATAACATACAGTTTATCGCTGGTCGATCGAGAAAGATGGATAGTCCTCTCAAGGTAATGTAGCGTCTGTAATAGCTGCGCTACTTCACACAAGAAGGCATTAGGTATAAGAATTTGGCCGACGTGAAGTAATCAATTGGTCACTTCGGCCATTCGTGATGAGTGTAGTCCGATGTATCGTCGTGGTACGCTGAACTGAATCTGCTCCCGATATCTGCGAAACGGTTCCTTGGAAGAAGTTACGTGGGATTTTACTAACTGTAGCCCGCTCTACATCCCTCTCGGATCGCATAGAGGAGCCGGAGAGGACCCTTGCCACGGGCCTGTAGTATTGAATAGCTGCTTCGTCTTGCTTTATATGCGGGGGGCCACATGTTGTTTCTTTGAGTATGGTAAATTTTTGCATTTTTCAGGGCTTCTTACAAATCCAGTTAATATGCGAATTTTTTTGTAGAAAGGGGTCCCTACTTGACACTTTGAAGACGCAGAATCTGGAACCTCCTTTTCGTGCTTCTTCTTGAAAGTTTTTTTTTACGATGATGAACTAAAGACCAATGAGAAAATGGCACACTGCAAAAAGCTGAGGATTTGTCAGTCACATTTGCACACCTATTGAAATTATGTGCGGCGAAGTGGTGTAGTGGCAAGTGGCACGCTTACCACGCGAGCGGTCCGGGGATCAAATCCTGGGTCGTGAGTCGCCCGGGCCAACCAAGCCTTCCATCCCTCCGGTCGGTTAATTGGTACCAGACTTGTCTGGGAGGATAAAAACACTGACTTGTACATCGGCTGGCCCCCGCAAGTCATTGTATAGGCCACATCGCATTCAAACGCCACTACGAATGTACAAATGGAAGTAGAATGCGTGCCGCATCCCAAAAAGGGATTGATCAACGGCAAATGCTTTATCCTTTTTTTATTGAAATTTCGTATATCTATGAGTATTGTGTGTGTGTGTCAGAGTTCGTCATGATAAAGGACGTGCAAAAAGAAGCACGAAAACGAACTTCTAGCGTCTGCCTCTACCAGGTGTCAGGTTACGATACTTATCAATAAAATAACCAAATATAAACTCTTCCTCGGCTCGTACCAGTAGTCCTGGAAAAAGCAACATTCCAGCATGCTCAAGGAATTGAACATGTAGACTTTGCCATATGAAGCAAAGCAGCCATCCAATACACCATAGGGCCGCTCGATGGCCTTTTCCGGCTAGTCTTATGCGAACTAGAAGAATGTAGAGGGCGCCACAGTGAAAAGAAAATTCTTCGTAAACTTAAACTTAAACTCTCTAAGTTTCATCGGGATGTATTCCATTATCTTAAGGATGTCAGCTAATAGTTCTCCCTCAACTGTTGCTAACTCTTCTCCTCTCGTTTTTGTTGTTGGATCCATTGTTTTATCTGACGGTTAGTTGCTTTACTTTATTTATTATTTAGGTCGATTTACAAGTTTTCTACTTACGGTGTTCTGGAATTGGTTTTATAATTTTTTTGGAAGCTCCTTCACATGTCTACATAGATGTGTAATAAATGTTAAATGTAATTTCGCTCAGGAAATCGTTCCACAGACACCGAAGCCACGCGTGCGTTTGGTGCACCTCATTACGAATGGCCGGACTACCAATTGACCATTCCTTGAAGCGCACGGAGCAAGCAAGCTTAGTGTGAACTGAACTTCGTACCAGACTAACGTGAAGCTTTTGAGGAAGAAGGTGCCATGGAAATGACCTAAGCCCAACGTATTCCGCTTGTCCATAACTTCTTGCTCCGCCTCGACGTGGCTTCCTAGTTTTTATAAGTCTGCGCCCTAGCATCGCAGCATGGTAGCGCAGCCTTGACTACACCAGCTAAAGGTCGAGCAGCGCTAAGTGAGATGAGAGCAGAATATCCTCTTTCACATGTTTAGGTGCTTGAAAGATTCCATTGCAACATGTCGTCCTCATATTTTCAATTCTTTTACATCGAACGCACAGCTTTCAGACAAGTAACGGAGGGAAGGTATTCTCCGATGTCTGCCTTCGTTCTTCCGACGGCTGCACTCTGCATCCACTTGCCTACGCTTTGGAAGATGACGAGCCAGTGGGTTTTGAACTGGAGACAAAGGGATTCTCTCTAATCATAGCTTTTATGGTTTTTTGTTCTCTCTTCAGGTTCTTTCTGCTCAGTTTCTTCTGCGTTATCCGATGCTGATCCATTGGCGACCTTCTCATTGATAACGCTTTAGTCTTCGGTGGAGTTGTGGTGAATGAATCGGTGAGTGACCGCGACTCATATCTACGATCAAACGTCCACTGGGAAATTTCTAACTTAGGGTTGTAGTTATAATTTTTTGGATAGGGGCCGCGCTTGGCGGACTGGAGAAGGGGGGGGGGACGTTTTATAGAAGGGTGAATCGCTGCAAAGTGCTGAAATTTACGGAAAAGTCATGCCAGCATTGACCGTCGCAAAGGGTGGGTTTCAAGGTTGTCCCGCTATCGAACTTTTTCCCAAAATCATGTTTGGCCTTGCTCAAGTCTGTGCTTCTCAATATTGCCGACATATTACAGAAGAAAGACAGCCACGGTAACGGACCAATCGAGACGGCAAGAGCACTGCGTATCTTCTACCTGTTAGAGCCATCGATTGATGTGGAGAGGTTCTTTTTGCAGCGATTCGTTTCTTCTTAAGCCATTTGATGCTTAGATATAGCAGAACCATTCGTTTAGTTGGATTGACACATTCTTGGAGCACATGGCGACCTATCGTGTCAACTCATCGTCGAGGCTCTACTGGACCTCGTCAAAGAGTTTGACAAGTGAAATGGAGCGCAACAGCACGGTATGTCGATAGCATATACTCTACCTCATGGGTAGCTGTGGGATAGTAGAATGAGCTGCTATCATTCACGCCGTTCGTGGGTTGGGTGCCGTACAGGTCATCGTGTCCCTTACCGTGTATCTTCGGTAGTCGTCTTTGGTAAAGGGTTCTGTCATCAGGAGTCTTTAGGAATGGGCTTCAAACTCCACACACTCCACTGAGTCCATATGTCCTCCTCAACCAGGCGACTGCATAAAGGCTCATGTCAGCGCCAGGTGTTTTGGCAATGCTCCCACGAGCTCAATTCATGTAACTAACATTATATTGGGCTGAACCATAATTTCTGGCCGAATTTCGACACTTTCATTTCATTGAGTTTTTTCTTTCCTGGAGAATAACTGATCAACAATATAACCACCATCGCAATCGCTGATATGCATTCATTTGCTAGGCAGCGAATGGATGCATTCCTCTCAAAACGAGTGGAGCTATGGGATGAAGAGTTCGGAGAGGTCGTTTTTTGGGTGGTTGTATTCAGTGACCCCTTTCTCTCGAAGGTACTGCTTCAGGGCATCGAGAAGGGATAGTGCGATGAAGTAATGTTAGGGCTATACGATAGATGTGGTATCGCGATCCAGCCAGTTTCCTCAGAAGGTGGCGAGTTATCTTCGCAATGTAAGGTCGGGCGTTCATCCGGAGGAAGGAGATTTTGAGACGTTTCGAATGGTTCTCTCGCACTGCTGCGGCCAACCTCGGAGTTTATTCCATGGTTATCTTCGCAGTGGTTGTCTATATAAGATGAAGCGGTTCTCAAAGTGGGATACCCGACCAATCCTACAAATGGGGGTAATATTCTCTGACGAAAGAGGTCGGGTTTTGGGTGAGATGGTGGGTTCAGGCTGCGAGATAGCCATAAGGCGTGCCGCGTGTTGTTGTCGTAGTGGACTCATGACTCATCTCCACTGGTGACGACTAGGGAAAGTCCAGGCTATGCCTGCGCAGAATGAAATTTCTGCAGATGGTCAGGTCTGCTTCTCGGTCATGGTCAGAGATGCATGCCGTTCCCATCGAAACTTCATTCTGCTACAGCCCGTTTCATTCAGACAGCTTGCGGTGGTGCATCGGCTGTGCCCAGGTATCTGCTACAAATCTCAGGTGGTAGCGTCCGGGTGAACTTCCGATTCACAGCGCAATGGATCCTCATCGAAAGTGACTGGGGGCCCAGGATGAGGTCAAACTTTGCAGCTTGTATCGCCTTTGCCGATGCTTTCAAGCCAATAGCCCAGTGCCCGATCAGTAGCAAAGACTGAGGCAAACACAGCGCTGGTCTTGCCTACTGCACTCCTTGCAAGGTTCTTCTTTAAATGATCGTTAAGCATAATCGCCTGCTTTGGTCGTTGATCCATTTCGATCCCTACTTACTTATTCCACTGCCCTTTGACCTTCTGGAACATCCTAGTTTAAGGTACTGATGCCTCCTTCAACATACTAACTTATTTCGTAATGACACTAATTTGACATGAAGAAAATTGATTCTGAAAAAATTCGGCCAGGAATTATGGATCAACCCAATAGTATCCTAAGAGCACTGCCCACATATTCTTGTGTAGGAGGACTCACGCTCCTGGCTGAGGAGGATAACATGGCGTAGAAGACTCCTGGCGACGCTAGGCGTTTTACTCTGTCGCTTTTCCTCATCAACAATTGAACCTTTCAGCTGCTGATTCCCTTCATGCCGTGGGCGGCGACGTTTTTACTGGTGTTCTGCATGGTCGCCTGCTCGTCCAGAGATGTCGTCAGGTACTGATTGCCCAGAACTGAATGTTACTGTTGCCTGAAATGGCAGTGATTGAATCACCTAGGTCACAGCCATGGATTGGCTTCTTCGCAATGTTGAACGCGTCGATGTCGACAGTGGCTGCTATGGCTCTGCTGCTCTACCTTGCGTTACCCGTTCCTGCCGCTGGTCTTCATTATGCCATTCCTCGTCGTATGTTAGTGATCTGGTCTTACTGGAATCTAAAACTAACATGACGATTACTTGCTTTAGCCATCGGGACGGACAACATGTTCTTGATGCTGAAAAGCTGGCGGCTCACTCAAGAGCCCGATATGGAACTGAGGTGGTTTTTCAAGGGCTATTTTAATGCAACTCCCTAATGGTACAGTGCGCTCCATACCAGTTGCACTGGCCGAAAAACTCCCTAGTAATATAAAAATAGTTGTTTAAGCAATGGAAATGTCATCCATCGCTTTCGGATATAACTAGAACCGAAATGCAGCAGCAGCTGAGATGCTATACGAAGCAGGGTGGGCACGCCGCATTTTTTGAACAGAAATGTATGTAAGTGGGACTGCTGCCCGCTACTATACTGTCACGAGAATCGGGGAATTCGTGAGCCAGGGGGAGTGTAGCCAATCTAGGGGGGGGGGTGAGGGCAGTCACTTGACATGCGTGAAAAGCTGGGCGTGCCCACCCTACTTGTATAGAGCTGCAGCTGAAAGTAGAGATAGAGGATACACTGGTTAAAAAATTAGGAGGAAACAACTTAAGACCTTAGATGGAGCTTCTTGTTCCCATTGATTTCCGCTCTGGACGAGACAGTGATCAGGGCGAGCTCGTGTACACGAGCTAATCCCACTGGCTGGTGTCATGCTAACAAATATCGTCCTTTCTAATCGGCTAACCGGCTCAACACGTTAGACGTGTGAGTGCTGAAAGCTATGGTACGTATACCATGAAAAGCTGAGTTGGAATGAAATGGTGCCCCGGTAGCGTAACTGGTAGCGCACTTGCCCGGAAAGCGAGAGGTGCGGGTTCTAGTCCCGCCTGGGGCGAAAGTTTTGTTCACAACCCAGCATTCTTGTGAATCATCCTTTCTTTGATAGCGCATAACATAGAAAAACCAAAAGAAATATCCGCTTAACGTTAAATACGCTTCCATAATGAAGGGTAACGTATGGCAGAAGAGCCGGGCCGGACCACAGCAAGCAGCGTTGCTCGGCATTAGCCACGCGGCGATGGGCGCGCCCTTCGCAGTAGTACGTGTCTCACTTTCGTGGGGGCTCTCCGTCCTTTCGCAGTATGCAGTATCCGCCCCTTCTTCCATATTCCATCTATCGTAACCTACTCTTCCAAAGGAGCATTCCACGATAAGATCGATGGTCGAAGAGGAGGAAACCTACCTAATTGGAAATCAGCCGCACCTCTTAAGGGTCGGAACCGACCAGCAGTTCAGCAAAGGATATCCCCCCGACGGTCCAGCACGGCCCACCCCTCGGCGCTATCGGCACAGTACGACAAGCTAGTCACTGCCGCAGATCTCCAGCCGTTTAGCAGAGAGAGCGTTAGCGTTGAAGAGGGCAGCACAATGAGAGTCGCATCAGTGCGGAAATCAACGGGCAAGGAAGGGTTCCATTTCTATGCTTCTAAGCCTTTCTCTTAGTTTTTTCTTCGTCCTGCTACCATTGACCACCTTTTGATGGACTGCCTTCTAATTGTGCTCCGCCTTTGAGGAAAGGTCATGAAGTTTTATCGTAATCTATTCATAGTTTCTTTGCTCGTTGTATGTTAGCTGGGGTTCACTTCAGCAAATCAGGTCATTTCAGGTTCGTAGACGCGCTTACGGAAACCGCAGCGTCATTGTTCCTCACATCGCTCACAGATGGATTGTCGTTCTCGATCGGCAGTGTTTCGGACTTCTACGCTGTTCGTGAGTGCTTCACGCTTCATTGTACTGCCTTCAAGATAGCAACTCAATTCAAGGTGTTTTCTGTACGTACTGTGCGATGGCGATTCTCTTCATGTTCCTCTTTCAAATCACTTTCTTCAACGCAGTGATGGTGCTGTGTTGTCGAAGAGAGATCGCCGGCCGACATTCGCTCTTCTGTTACAGAGTCTCTCAGGCTGGTGAGAAAGATCTTTGAAAGTCTCTCACTATAGTCACTGCTGAAAAGCATAATCTGTGTACGTTTTAGGAAAACAATCGGATGATACCTGTGCGACCTTCACTCTCGGCGACTCTGGGCGAAATACTTGCCCGATTCGTGTCCACTAAGCTGGGGAAAAGTCTTATTGTTGTCCTCTACTTCATCTACTTAACAGCTTCAATCAACTTTGCACTCGGTAATTCACATTGGGCTAACTTGAAAAACCAAACTTAAAAGTCCCCATGTCCGTCTTTCTTGAAACCTCGGCATTCTTCATGAGTGTTCTTGTTACTGCTGTGCCATACAGGTTTTTTATGGTGGGTTTTTTTTTTATTATGCCTGACGTTTTGACAATTTCGTCGTTATCAAAGGTCTGGAAGCATATCGAAGCGTCTTGTAATTTTACCATCCCGCTCACAGCTAACCTAACCCTAGGATTCCTAGTATGCTTTCAAGCCTCTAATAACGACGAAATTTCGAAACGTCAGGCATAATAAACATTCCACCATAAAAAAAACCTGTACGGCACAAAGTAACAAGAACACTAGAACTTAAAAAAGAAGTAGAGTTGAACTTAATTCTTGGATTATTAGAGATAGTAATTTTATCACATTGAAAAACCGGCTGAAATTCATTTCCGGGAAGAACTAGGCGCTGCGTCTAAAGGGCCAGAGCCGAGATACGGTTGACTGGATCGAATTCCGTTCATTATTTGCAAAATAGTTCACTAAGCTTGAACTGTCAATTGCTTTTGGTTTGAGAACAAAAACGCACGTACCGATTACCCGATGGTGTGTTTACCACCTCGATAACTTTGGTTGAATCAGCATGTACGGCGCATCTCAAGAGAAGTGTCGAAAAGTTTTCTCTCTCCTTCTTTTGTTCACAGAAAGAAAACCTCCGCAAACTTAAAGAGGATCTCATCTCAAAGAACGTTTTGCTTGGATTTCTTTGCGTTATGATTCGAATATTTTAGAGTTGCCTTTGGGACTCGATTTAAAGCTGTTGACTCCGTCTGGCTCATATTTGGCGGATTTTTTACGGGCTGAGGAACGGCTGTTCAAAGAGTACGGCCTTTATTGTTTCGCTGTTGTTCGTCTTCAAAATTGGCCGCTGATCGATCCCAACGAAAGAAGGAGGCTGTTGACATTGTACGACGACCTCTCCAGGTGAAGGTTTTTGATTCATATCCATATTCAGTATAAACAAATAAATAATTGAATACGCACTAAAATGCGTCCACGACCATGGGAAAGTCTAAACTGTGGTCCTTCCTAAAGCGATATTGATGATCAACGCTGAGCGCCTAATCATTTTTTTCGGCGCATAATTAGCAGCGGGGCGGAAGTGGTGTAGTGGCAAGTGGCACGCTTACCACGCGAGCGGTCCGGGATCAAATCCTGGGTCGTGAGTCGCCCGGGCCAACCAAGCCTTCCATCCCTCCGGGGTCGGTTAATTGGTACCAGACTTGTCTGGGAGGATAAAAAGGCTGGCCCCCGCAAGTCATTGTATAGGCCACATCGCATTCAAACGCCACTACGAATGTACAAATGGAAGTAGAATGCGTGCCGCATCCCAAAAAGGGATTGATCAACGGCAAATGCTTTATCCTTTATCCTTTATAATTAGCAGCGAAAACTTCCTTTCTAGGCCGTATGTTAAAAAGGAGTACCGGTGTGACCAGGTTTTCAGGCATAAGTTTCTCTATCACTGCCCACGATTTCAGTTCTCCGTATGCATCGAAGGGCGAGTTCTGGTTGGAGGAATTCGAGAAGCTCCATAATGGTAAGACATTTACTAGCCACACCTTCAATGCAGCTCTTCTTTCACTGTCAGCTCAGAAACCTCAATACAGAAGCGATATCAGGTGAACGTATTCTACGTATCCGACAAGTTCTCATCGAAGATCAAATTGATCAACTTATTCCAAAGTGCTCCTTCCAGATTCAATCCTGATGGCGACATCAAGGCCACAAAAATGCTGATGAGAGTCCGTTTATTGGGGACAGCTAACGAAAAGCCACGAGCTGAAGTACTACGAAAGACAATGTCGGAGAGTGGATTCAATGGTTTTGTCTACGATACAAGGTTTATTTTATCGTACTTGTTTGGAATACAAAGCACATATTCGGATCATGTAAGCAATGGCTCCAGATGTCGACCGCTCTTTCTTCTTCGATTCCATTCACCGGTGTAAATCGTAGTAAAGGCAATGATTTAGATGGCTGAGAGGTGAAGAGTTTTTGAAGAAGTCATCAGGCTTGGAAGTTCGTCATTAGTGGATGAGCACTGGTGGCCTATATTGCCCTTAGTTTACGTCCCTTTTTGCGCTAATGTTGGCACTATATCGCTCTAGGGTGCAGACAGGCCGTCGCCGACTCCCCCTCCCATATCTCACTGTACTCTTGCTTCGCTGCTTTCAGGGTTGAGTTCCGAAAAACGCACCTTGTGGACAGTGAGACGCGGTTGCGCGTCTCAGAGATCGCACCCGCCAAGTGCTCATGTCCCATGTGGTCAGTAAAGCAAGAACGCGCGCTGTCGTCGATGCGTTAATAATAAGGCCCACGCGCCCGGCGAAAATTACTCCGTTTGATAGATTAGGTGTTCGTTAAATGCAGTGTTGAAGAGCAAGTTTTCTGGAAGAGAAATTTGAATAGCAAAGTTTTTGGAAAAGTTTTCCAAGAAACTTTTGGAAGTTTTCATTTCTGGTAACTGGCTAACCGGTCAGCGGATTTTCTGGGGGAAGTAGAAGGGTATTTGTAAGAACGCATGCAAGGAGGTTTATGCTGAGTGAGAATAGAAAAAGAAAGAGGATTTGTTTCCAAAATATTTCGTTGAGATCATATGCGATTCTGATTACGATGATGGGTTTCTATACACTAATCATGCCATCAAGGAACCTCGTCAAAAATTTGAGTGTTGTTCCTTCCCTTTCTTGAAGGACGAATTCACGATGAAAAAGCAACCCATTTCAAATTAACCTAGGGATGGTGAGTGGTACACGAAAGAAGGAAGAACCATGAGAAACGGCCCAGAACCCGAGAAATGGGACCCCTTCCTTGCCCGTTGATTTGAGCATTGATGCGACTCTCATCGCTGTGCCCTCTTCAACACTACGCTCTCTCAGCTATCTAATCACTCGCCACGTATTGAACTACGGCGAGTGATCAGATGATCGGTGGGCGGAGATCGCCGGACCCGCCAGCTTTGAGGCATGATAGGTCGCCGAGGTCAAATTTTTCCATGCGAATTGCGCGTCAGTTCGCACCCTCAGGAGGTCCGTGGGTCCCTCAACTAGGTCAGTTTCCCTTTCTTCGACCTTCATTCTAATCGTGAATTCCTCCTTAAAATGCTTATTGGTGTTAACGGCTTTGTGTAAGTTGCATTGTCTCTCGGAGATTATGGTAGTACACGGCAAGGAGAAACATATCTATTGATCGTAGAATAGAATAGTAGTAGATTAGAAGAGTAGGAGGTTAGGATAGTGCGCTGACAAGATTATATACGCATTGCTCGATTCGATGGAAGACCCAATCTGCTACCTCCAGCGATTCCGATCGATATGTATCTAATCTTGTCAGCGCAATATCCTGCTCTATTACTATTAATATCCTGTCGCCTACTATATTAATCTCTGGAGTCGCGAACTATAAACGCGACTTTAGCGAACGGCTTTGCTATCATTACGTTACTTGATAACGTTCAGTTCCGAAAAGATAGAATAGTACCCACGGCATTAAAACTGCAAAGGAAATATGATGGTTTCAGTTTTCTCCTTGTCGACCAACAAATGACTACCGTAACCGGGGTGATTACAAACGTGGTCACCGCCATTCTCACAATGCTCGTCATCTGCGTACTTATGGTATCGTTGTGGCATTTCTAGAAATCAGTTCAGAGTGCCGTTGGCAGGTTCAGTGCTAGGGCCAACACAGAGCATTCAGGTGCCTCGACCGCTTTCGGCTACGTGCATCGCAGTTTCTATTCTCTCAATAAATCTAGGAGTCGTTGGAGCGCTTTCAGCCGCCGGTATAAGACTGGACATCATCTCCATGATCACTATAGTGATGAGCATTGGATTTTCTGGTGAGGAATACTAATACTGCCAATAGTTCACAAGAATGCTGGGTTGTGAACAAAACTTTCGCCCCAGACGGGACTCGAACCCGCACCTCTCGCTTTCCGGGCAAGTGCGCTACCAGTTACGCTACCGGGGCACCATTTCATTCCAACTCAGCTTTTCATGGTGTACTCGCCATACTTATCCTAATACCATTCTACTGTCGTTCCAAATCGCTCAATTGATGTTTAGTTGACTACGTGACGCACACCACCTTCCACTTCATTGTGCAGCGCAACGACAGGCTGAAGGTATTCCCCGCTGGTTTTCATGAGGACTTCGGTAATAACAGAATGTCTCGTTTCAGAAGTGCCTAGTTGTGATGACGGAACCAATACTGCAGGCAGCTCTGTCCACTGTGGTGGGCGTATCTCTGCTAGGCACTTGTTCCATCCTACATAGTCCGAACGTTTGTGATGACCGTGTTCGCTGTGGTAGGCATTGGGGTCCTGCATGGACTGCTCTTCGTCCCCGTTCTACTTGCACTCATGGTATGTCTCTTTGTTTAGGCTTTTCGCAACCAGGAAGGGAGGGGCGATTTTCGACCCTTTTCGATTCAGGATCTCATTCCAAACCTCAGTACAAGTACACAAGTATTGTGTTTCCTAACCTTTTCTCTGGCACCGATCAATCATGGCTGTCGCTGTGATTGACGTTTCATTGCGCCTCTCCTTGCCTGAGCTCCTAAAGAAGGGTTTCATGATAAGGTCGTGGGAATTAGAGGAAAAACTAGTAGAAGGGCAGACGACCCCTAAAGGGTGTGGGGCGATGCGTTCGCAGGGAGGGTTTGCGGCCTAGCAGGGCCATTACCACGCCGCTAGTGCCGCTGTCCACCCACGTCCTCGCCGTCTGACTCTAGGCAGAAGGAGCGTTGGCGTTGATGAGATCAGTACCGATAAGACACTCCTCAACCACAAATCAGCAGGCGAAAGGAGGACCACTTCTCTGGTTCAGTCCGTTTTTAATGATCCTTTCGTCATACCTGCATCGCTGACCCGCTCTAGCTTAACCTCTAGTGGCCGACTTTTTATCGTAAGCTCCGCCTTTACGCCACAGTGAGCGTAATAAGTTGCGCAAAGGCGGATAATGCAGTCAGCCTGCCTTCAGCGCGTTCTACTGGGCCTGACTTGTGATCCGGTACATCTTATCCACGAACCCATTTCCTACCCCTCAGCGCGATGTACATATATAGGCGCTGAATAAATAGCTTGGTGCTGATGGAGTCCTTTTACTGGATGCGTCACGCATCGAAATTCCATACGCAGTTATAGGGCATATGCCGTGAGCACAGCATCTGCAGTGCCAGCAGGGTAGTTTTGAGTCTTTTTATTTTCGAGCCATCTAGGGTTAATTCACTGACCGAAAGGAGACAGGACCGAAAACCTTGCTTTCAACCCACCATCCGATTATAAGTGCGACAGCAGCGCCACACTCCGCTACCCCATCCTAGTCCACCAGCGCGAATTGCAGCCTTGCTCGCTTTTCGTGGTTCCTCTCTAATTTCACCTCATATTTTCTTATGACAGTTCAAGTGGACATCTTAAACTAATATTGCGACTTCCTTTATTTCATAAATGATGCAACCACTATTCGACGCCCATTTGGTTGACTATGAGTGTCAATTCAGGACATAGGGGGAAGAGGGACAAAAGAAGTCATTTTGCCTATGGCGCTCATCACCCAAGGTTTCTGGCACAAGTTGCCACCATGATGGGAAAAAGAAAAGGCGGAATTTGCAGAGTGCAGATTGGCGAGATTTTCCTTATGTCTCCATAAGCAAAAGCAGGCCCTCCTTCACTGCCCTCACCGTCTTCAGAATGCATGACGTCATCTGCAATCGGCGTCGAGCTCAAGAAGACCTACCGTAATTGCTTTCAGTCTGAAGTTGCTACATAATTCGAGAATTCCATTCATTGGCTGAAAGTTGTCTGGGGTCAGTAGCTCTGACTATTCGGACCCCCTCCTGACCAGCGTGTCCGAACTTGTCGTAACGGTTGTCACCTCTTGTGGTAGATTCTTCTGATGTCGTTCGTGTAGAATTCTATCATAGACTTTGCGATCGATTGGAATGGGTTCTTCAATTACAGTTAAAGGCATTCGGTTTAAAGGACGAATTCACGATGAAAAAGCAACCCATTTCAAATTAACCTAGGGATGGTGAGTGGTACACGAAAGAAGGAAGAACCATGAGAAACGGCCCAGAACCCGAGAAATGGGACCCCTTCCTTGCCCGTTGATTTGAGCATTGATGCGACTCTCATCGCTGTGCCCTCTTCAACACTACGCTCTCTCACCTATCTAATCACTCGCCACGTATAGACTACGGCGAGTGATCAGATGATCGGTGGGCGGAGATCGCCAGGACCCGCCAGCTTTGAGGCATGATAGGTCGCCGAGGTCAACTCCCTCCCCCAGAACCGTAATAACTTCGTATAG